GACTATACTCATGACTTCCCCCATCTGTATGCACTCACACCCAAACCTGAACCCAAATGTGATACTCGTATTATCCAAATTTCAATATCAAACTTCCAAAACTCTTTTCCAAACAGCAATTTCATACTCTTCCCAAATCCTTTCAATTTCTCCCTTTCATTAAAAGATTTTCATTTCATATAATCATGGAGCTATAAGATCAAATAAATATTCATAACCAGGGGCAACAATAAAGAGGAATGGCCACCACATATTTAAGCTCACGGGTAGACCTAAGAAAGGGAAAGTCATCACAGCATAAGCCTACGGATAGGGGCAAGAAAGAGAGCAGCCAAACCCCAAAAAACCAGCTCACGGGTTAGACCAGAAAAAGGAACAAGACTCACGACCAAGTCAGCTAGCAAACACCAAGTCAGTCGAAAAGAAAGCCACAATAGGTAATACCATCACATTGTATTTGATATACATAAGAGAGTGGATGGACAAGCCATTATAGATCATCAAAATTGAACCCACTTTCATCCCATAAGGCATAACAATGCTCAAACTAAACATTCAGACATAATGATAGGTATTGAAATTCATGCATTTTTAGATGACAAACTTGATTACCAATAAAAATCTTAGGAGGATGAGCATTAAAGAGGAGGCCCCAACCAAACCATGCCCAATAAAGGGGTCAAACCGAGCTCGAGGAATGGACCAATCGATAAGAGATTTCAACCAACATAAATCACCAAAAAGGAGCCCAAATCGAGCCCAAGAAAGGGGCAAACCGAGCCCAGCACAGAGGGCAAACCAAGTCCAAGAAATGGTCCAAACAGTAAGGGATTTCAGCCAACATAAATCACCAAAAAGGAGCCCAAATCGAGTCCAGAAAATGGGCAAACCGAGCCTAGCACAGAGGCAAGCCAAGCCCAAGGAATGTTCCAAAACAACAAAGGATTTCAGCCAACATAAATCACCAAAAGGAGCCCAATCCGAGTCCAGAAAATGGGCAAACCGAGCTTAATACATGGGGTAAAACAGAGAATGCTTTCAGCTATAATTTAATCCCAAAAAAAAAAAAAGAACCAAACCGAACTCAAAGAAGAGGCAAACCGAGCCCAGTACAGAGGGCAAACCAAGCAGCAAAGGGGCAAAACCCAGTCCAACGCATGAGTAAAACAAGTTCAGTCACATGGGAGAGCAAACAAATATTTCCAGCATTTACTCATTTTAAAAGAACTAAAACCGAGCCCAAAGAAAGGACAAAAACCGAGCAGCAAAGGGGTAAAACCCAACCCAACACGGGCAAAACCAAAACCACATCCACTAGAGAAAATTTTGAAACCAAATTCCATCTATTTGTATATTTTATAATGATTAAAAACCGAGCCCAACTTATGCACAAAAATAAGAACAATGATTCCAGCATTTATCCAGCCCTGCACAAATAAAACCGAGCCCAAGATGAACAAAACTGAGCAGCAAAGAGGCTAAACCAAACCTCAAGATAAGAGGGCTCCAACTTTTGTATCAAATGGTGATATGAAGTGGATAAACATGAATAAATCCTTTTAGAACCAACCTTTTTCCAACATTTATTCTAAGCATGAATAACAATAATAAAAGCTTTGATAATTTCTTCTAACATGCATTTCTAGAGGGATGAACTTCATTTCCAAGCTACCAATATAATGTTTCCAAGTATTTCAAGCAAAAAGAATAGAAGCAACCCATACATGATTTCCTTTTACTGAATCTAATCATGTATCAATGTTTAAGCTTCAGAATAAACTAAATCATGCTCCCATTATATTTTGTAAGAGGATAGAGATGTTTCAAAATGCCATCCTAAATAAAATAGAATAAGAAGAAGGGGAAGAATACCTCTTTTCAACAGTTTTAAGATAAAAAAAAATGAAAGACAATCTCAAGAAAACCACTCCAATAGAAATATTCCTCCCAAAGGCTTCAAGAAACGACAACCACGAATGCTCCACACCACAGACATCCAAAAGTATAGCTTAGAGAGGATTTTCGGCTAAGTAAACAGCACTCCACGAACACCCCACACTCCAAGCGCACGAGAATCAGATTTTAGAGGAGTTTTCTTCCCTAGAGCCTCCCACAGCAAAAATATAGCCTCTTTCTCTCCAAAAATTTTCAACAACCCAACACAGAATTTAAGAAGCTTTTTATGGGCAGAGAAGAGGGGGGAAGAATCAGCCACTAACCACCGCTTCATGGCCGAACAGAACAAGAGGGACGAAATCGAAACAATAAAGAGGGAGAGCCTACAGCCTCGAGGAGGAGAAGCACCGACCAGCTCACCTCCTTGCGATTGGAGAGCCAAAAAGTCAAGGGGAAGCTCGAGGAGATGAGCCGCGAGCAAGAACGACAAAGGAAAGCCGCGTGGATCCATCGTGGGGGCTAGGGGACGGGCAAGAGGGAGAGCTGAGCGCTTCACCTGTTCGAACCCGTGAATGGGTCGAACAGGTGATGAAGCGCGCAGGTTAAAACCTAAATAGGGTTTAGGTTTAATGTGATTATAATTTAGGGGTAAAATTTGTGAAAAGTATTTAATATTTTGAAAAATAAAAATTGAATTTGTGTTTTATTTGAATTTGTGTTTTATTCAATAAAAATTGAATTTGTGTTTTATTCGTGCGTCTAAACATAACAAAATTGGTATCATTTTTAAGTAATTTTGACGTTTCGGACGGGTTGGCGCAGTCCGTTTCACCGTCAGAGGTCGTTTTGATAAATTCATCGATTTACGTGCAAATTTTATCGTGTCAGAAATATGACAATATGAGTGTCATTTCCTACTAAAATTGGTGTCCCGAACGCGTTAGCGCATTCCAATTTGTCATCGGAGGTCGTTTGAAGAAGTTTGCATTTTCACCCATTCTTTAAGCTCAGTTGAAGTTCTATCTCGTGTGACTTAGTGAATTTTGTGCATTTGGTGAGTGTGTGTGACGATAAAGTCGTGAGGAAGTTTTCCTAGGGCTTGAGGTCCTATTGGGAACTTCTCCCTGAGTCTCCACACAAAACCTCTTAACCGCTCGTCCATAAAACGATGGTTTTGAGACCATAAATGTAGACATCACAGGAAAATAGGAAGTGACTGAAATTTCTAAAAAGAATGAGTCACAATTCTAGTTTTCTAAGATGGTAAATAGGAACTCCTAGAGCTAGATCTCCTAGAGCTAGATCTTAGGATCTTAAGAAAAAGAATAATGACCTCAAAATGAGGTCAACAAGCACCTATGCATAAAGAGCTTAAAGCTCTCAATAAAATACCAAACGTGGGAGATAGTGCCACTACCAATAAAAAAAACAGTTAAGTGCAAGTAGATATTCACAGTGAAACAAACTCCATAAAGAAAGATAGAGCGGTACAAAACAAAACTAGTTGCGAAAGGGTAAGTCAGATATATGCATTGACTATGATAAAACTTTTGCATCGATAGTAAAGATGAGCACATTGAGAACACTAGTTTCTCTGGCTGTGAATGGTGGTGGAGGTTACACCAACTTGATGTAAAAAATACATTTCTTTATGATGAGTTACTGAAGAAGGTATATATGGAGATACCACTAGGATTCGGTACAGTCTAGACAATAGAAAAGGTGTGTAGTCTCAGGGAGGGAGTTATCACATGACTTGAACCTAGTTTGACAGGTTTAGAAAGACTATTGTGGGCATGAGATATCAGCAGATCAATGCAAACCATATAATATTCTTTTGAAAACATGGAGGTCAAATCACTATACTTATTGTGTATGTTAATGACATCATTGTCACCAGTGATAATGAGACAGAAATTGCCCGACTAAAGGAAAGATTGGACAATAAAGTTGATGTGAAGGATCTTGGACAAATCAGATACTTTCTAAGGATTGAAGTGGCCTGTGGACTTGAGGAAATAGTCTTGTCCCAGAGAAGTATTTACTAGATTTCATCGTGGAAACAAACATGTTGGGTTGCAAACCTGCAGTTTCTCCAAATGACCATAAGTCTAAGCTGAGTGCAGAGGCAGCAGAGCCGATTGATCGTAAGAGGTGCGGGAGTTTGGTGAGTCGTCTAATCCACGCGTGTCACGCTCGACCAAATATATCTTTTGCAATGAGCGTGGTGATCCACTACATGCATGATTCAAGAAATGACCACATGGATGCAGTGTATCAGATTATGAGATATCTGAAGAGAGCACCCGAGAAGAAATTAGTCTTCATGAAGAATGTACATGTAGACATTGAGGGCTTTTGTGATGCTAATTGGGCGAGTTGTACAACTGACAGAAGATTCACCTTAGGATACTGCATGTTTGTAGGGGCAACTTGGTCTCTTGGAAGAGCAAGAAACAATCTCTAGTAGCAAGGTCAACAACAGAGGCAGAGTACAGAGCCATGGCCTTAAGAGTTTTTGAGATGTTGTGGCTGAGAGCCGTGTTGGTCAAGCTCAAGGTGGACCAAGAAATTGACATGAAGTTGTGGTGCGACAACAAGCAATCAGCATTGCCAACAACCCGGTGCAACATAATAAAACCAAACATGTGGAGAGTGATAGATTCTTCATCAAGGAATAGCTGAATAAAGGGCTACTGGAGCTAAGTCATGTAGCCACTGAAGAGCAAGTGACTGACTGCCTCACTAAAGGACTTGATTCAATATATTTGTCTAAGTGACAAGACTGCCTTAGTGAATATTTTTTGCCCATCTTGAGGGGGAGTGTTGAAAATTGGACCTTATTTAGGGTCCTATTAGTGAGAAGAGAATATTGAAGAAGTATAGGGGCTTAATTGTAAAACATTGTAATACCCTATTTAAGTCCATGTTATGAATAAACAAATTAGATTTTTGAGCGATTTTTTCTTTTGAAACATAACTTCTTAAAAGGAATCCTTACAAATTGCAAATTGATGATATTATTTTATAACTCATCTTAGCTTTTCATATATCCCATTTTGTTCAAGAAATTGCAAGAAGAGCTAGCATGATCTTCTATTTACCTCTAATAGCGGGTAGAATCGTGACAATTGCCATGTTTCATCCTCACCCTCTCGCTCTTTCCTAGCTGAAAGCTTCTTCTGAGGATACTTATGGAATGAAAACCATAAGAAGTCTTAAAAAAAAAAGTGAAAAATGAGAATTAACCTGAAATTTACCTTCTGGGTTTCAAATCTGAGAGAAAAATTCCCCCCTGAAGCTTTCTTGGTGACTTGACCACCCAAGTAATTCAAATTATACACAGCGTTCATATCATTAGTCGTCAGCTTTGCTAGCTGAAAGGAATTTTCAATTGAGAGTTGACGCTTCCATAGAATGAATAAATACTGGAAATCAAGCAAAAATATTTTGACGACATCCATAATAGCAAGGATAATACTAATAGCATAAAAATAATGTGAGTGAACAAAGTAGGTTGATCTGAACACTTGGAGCACAAAAATGTAAATGTTAGTTTACCACTGAATTTCTGGAACTTTTACCTGCATCAGCTTAGCACCTTTGTCACCTTCAAATTTTTCTGGATAAACGGACGCATATATCATCAGTAAACGCAACTTATTCTCTGCAGAAACATCCTGCAAAACAAATGTCTCAACATCAAATTAACTTTAAATAGAAGTATATGGCGAAAAATTTTCAGGATGAATACTAAAACCTGATTTGTCCGCAGAAAATTAATCACTTCTTTTGTTCCTACATTACCAAAAACAAGACCTTGCTCTAACTGGCCAATTTCTATAAGTCCCAAATCTCTAATCAACGTATTTATTTTTCCTGCAATCTGTTAAATTGAAATACAATGAGGTCAAACTTCATATGCATGCTTTGCTTACATAAAATCCTGAAAGGAATTTAGAGACCAATCGTTTATATTGACAACAATAACGAATGAAAATTGATATAATTTTTAACTTATAAAAAGTTAAATTACATCAATCCGGTGAAGTCTCAACTTACCCCAACACTATAACTAGATATCATATATAGGGCTAACCTCTACAAAATAGAAGACAAACGACTAAAACAAATGTCCAGGATTAGCACGCAAAGAGAAATCAATTCTAAAACAATGACTGATTAAAGAAACCAATGCATCAAAGTCTTCACAAAAAAACAGAATCAAAATGCAAATCTACATAAATGGCGATGTGATCTAGTGGCAGCACCTCATTCTACTTCGCCGTTTGCTACTTCACATATATTTCTCTTATTAGCTAATGCTCTGTAACCAATTAATTGCCAATAATTGCTACTTAATGTTTGAATTAGTCGACGTCAGAGGTACTAGATAAAGGATGACTGCTTGTAATAGTGAAGGAAGTTTTTGAGAACAAAACTTTTACTGAAATATCCTAACAGACTTTATTCTCTTGATGCATGCTTAATGGTGGACTCCAGCAAGAACTCAGACAATGAAGATTTGCTTTATTCAATTTTCTTGAAAGGAACTGGCAACGGGGTCATAGGGGGCTGAACCAGCCTCCTAAACCTGAACCGGTCCAATGGGGAGGGTTTAGAGGTATTTGGGCCTTCCGCCCAATAGGAGGTGGGATCCCATTCCCTCAGCATATCTACTATTTTATATGGGTGTTCTGTGTCTTAGTGTTTCAGTTTTTGTTTCAGATTTCAGAATTGTGCTTGAACAGCCGCCGACATCTTGTATCCAACAGAAAGAGTGGTGCCTCAGCTATATCCCTCTCCCGAGGTGGTGATTATCTACCCCGATTCCTTGCTTGGCTGCTGCCATCCCGGCAATCCTCTCCCAGCAGCAGGATCTCCACCCACATCTCTGCTCCCAGCCGCCTACAGCAGCCCTTCCACCGCTGCCTGGTTATTTTCCTGCAGCTCCCTACTTCCCAGCTGCAGCTCCACTTTCCTCTTCCATCCAAGTTGTTTGCTGCCCCTTCCTGCCATCAAACCCCTCTCTCGTAGCCCCTCCTCTTTCCCAGCCGTCAAGATTTTGCCGCAAACCATCCCAAGCCTTCCCCAACCTGCTGCCCCCTTCTCCAGCTCTTCCCAAATGCTGCAGCAGTCCCTCCCAACCTTTCCAACAGCTGCCGCATCCCCATATCAGGCCCATCTGCTGCCGCAAGCACCCGCTGCCGCATCCCCATATCAGGCCCATCTGTGCCGGCCATCTCCGTCTGCTGTTCAGTCGGGGTTCACCCCTTCGCCGTCGCCCTAGGGCATCTTTTATGTTTGCTGCCGTTATTTTTTTGTTTTTGAAGAGTCGTCGTCGTAACCGATTTCAATTTCAGTAATAATATTTCTATTTTCTATTACGATTTGGGTTAACTCCAGTAGCAGAAACTTTCTAGAATTTATTTTCATACATGGGGGATTTCATGCATTGACTACAGCATTTTACTAACAAGGCAAAATTTCAGTTTGCCTTTTTCCCACAGATCAATCTAAAGCTCCATTTGGCACTTTTGTATTCTAATAGGGTGTGAAATATGATGTTATGCTGTGTTGTCTAGTAAAACGCATTATTTTCTGGTAAATAATATTAAGATTGCTATATAAAGTGTTGCTAAGATTTGTGGAAGTTGATAAAAATCTTGTTATGGCAAAAAAATGAGTTGACTAAATCATAAAAAAATTATTATTATGATTTTCATACAATAGCAGTTTTATCCAAATTTTAATTAATATAAAGAATTAACATAGTAACTAAATTATATAGAAAGCTGAAATTCATAAATGTGCTTTCCTTATAATCTACTTAAACTATCATTTAAGAAAGTTGCTCTTCAGCTTTCAGCTTTCAGCTTTCGTACACTTGGACCTTTTACTCACAACCATCTCTAGAAAGGCCCAACAAATTACACGTCATTCCGGAAACATAGGAGATGAAAGGTTATGCCAAACGGAGCCTAAAGCAAATCTCTTATTACTCATGTGTTATCCCTTGCAGTAAAATCATTTAAAACAACTATTTTAAACAATAATATCATAATTTTTCTGGATCAAAACACAAAAACGTTCAAATAAGAATATCAAAATAGTTTAAATCACCAAACATAAAACCCCGAACAGAAAAGATAACAAACCTCTACATGAAGAGAGAGTATTTCTATCTGTTCACTGTACTGTGGCAGAGCTTGAACCATCTTTCGCAAGTCGCAAGTTGATAACTCTCCACCATCTCTATTAACAAAAGGAGGTGAGCGAAAATGAAAGCAAAGGTATGGTCAAAAATAACCAACTATCACATCAATGGAAAAAAAAGGATGTTGGATCCATTAATGTGAAGTTGCATGGATAAAATCTTCTACTGCAGAAAGTTCAATCCATTAATTGATTTTCTCAACAACTGAACTCCATCGATCTGAAGGACTGAACCAGTAAAGTTGATTATTGAAGTTGCATTATATAACTACAGCCAAACAGTCCATCATAAATAGAAGTAATCCTGAAATTAAGCAAAATTTGTGATATTATTCATAGAAAAAGAGAATAACATGCCGGCAGCAGTCTTCGTTGCATTTTGAGTGGTGCGCCCATCAATAACAACAAGCATGAATAACTGTCATGTAGAAGCAGCTAACTTAAGGAAGACAAGAAATATGCCCCTTTATCATCACATGCGATTATTAGGAAGAGAGAGTGTTCCATGATGCCTGCATGCGCCTATAGGCCTTGGCTTTGTTTTGTTTCTTTTCATTTCCACATTTCTCAGCACTATGATGGCAATTTCAAGGAAGTTAATACCCTCAAAAACTACTAAATAGTGCCAAGGGAGATTCTACCCCTTTTGGCGTTTTTTATGAATATCCAATACTAAAACAAACTAAATTAAGTACAAAATTAACTTTTCAGCAACAAAACTATAAGCGAGTTTTTGAACCATAATTGATCAGGGGCATGCAAATACTTGGGGTCCATTTAGTAGGATGAAAAAAGGTTTCATTGTTGCATTTAGAATGCGAGGATTTCAAGGAATTTGGTGTATTATTGGTAGAAAATAGAATTCAGAGTAACAGATATAGTGTATTCATAACTCAAGTATACTGCAAGCTGCAGCAGTTGTCACCACACACCGCCAGTCATTCACCATAGCCGGTGCAAACCATCGACCAGCTATCTGCAACCACATCCTGCAAGTCACCTGCCACCCACAGGCCAATTGCTGTTCGTCGGTTTTACATTGATTTCATTTTACTCCAAACCAAACAAACAATCTTCTAAATTTATTTTACACCCAACTAAATAACTTGAAAGCATTTTAAATACACTATACTTCAATCATACTACATTCTATTTACACTGCATTATTTTAGGAGACAAAATGGCCACTTAATCTTCTTCCTTTCACTCATTCTATTTTCTTTCTTCACCTTTTCCTTTTTTTTTTTTTGTCTTTATATTCATCATATATAACAACATGTCTAAGAATGAACAATAAAACACAAGCAGGTACTGCATCTTTGCAAATCACTTGATATGATAGTTCCTGGACAGGGTCTGAGCTGACAAAGATGTTATTACTTCCTCAATGTTTTACTGAGATCAAAACAAAATGGTTCCGAACAATTATGGTTAATCTCTTTGCAGTGAAATTGTAGAATTAAGCAAACATGTTAAATTAAGCAATTTTAGATCCTGCACCTACTATGAAAGACCGGGGATATTGAACCTATAGAGTATGCCAAGCAGTTGCAGCAAGGCTTGAAGAGATAATTATCTCGACAAAAATGAAGCTTATTAAGTAAACTACACACTTGTATCTGAGTAAAATTCAATTATGGAAAAGACTTACTTTGCAATCAATTGAAGTTGCGCGGCTTTGTTCTTCGACATGAAGCTGGTCATTTTTTCATGCAATCTTTCACTAGCCTGGCATGTAAAATACTCATTTATATGGACAATTAAGTTACCCATAGAAAACGTAAACAAGCTTAAAGCCTACATCTGCTATGTGTGTATGCCGAAGCTCAAGCCAGATTGGATCATGATCCTCCAAAAGAGCCTCCTTCTTTTCAGCTGTTGACCCTGATTTGCTTGGCACCTAAAAAGTCAAATATGTAAGAGAAAATTGACATATAGAAAGAATAATGTATTCTGAATAACTTACCTCATAATTATATTTGTTCCCATCCATATTTAATAAATCATGGCACATGGCATCATAGGTCCATTCATGAATGATTGGAGCAATCTAGCAACACAAGCAGGATAAGAAAACATCAGAATAACTTGAATTATAAGATGAAAATAAGGCACTAAGCCTAAATAAATAATAGGATATACCACGTCGATTGATCGGTCTACAATTAATAAATCACATGTCTCTTTCTGTGGAAAGTCCGGCATTGTTGTTTTATACTTGGAAATAATGTTCCAAACTTCAGCAGCAAGTTTATTTGGTATTAATTCTCGTGCTGAAACTTCAGTTGAATTTGAAGATGACTTAGCAGCTTGATATCGCACAAAAGGAAGTTCCTACAAAGAGATGAACATTTTAGGTGATAGAAACAATAATGCTTGCAAATGTTAATAGATTGAGTGTGATATTAAGTTGCTTGATTTCACATATAACTAAAGTGCTTTCATCAAAATATCATATGGTCAAACACACCAATTAGTAAACCAAAATTAACGCTATTTTAGTTACAGTGCTGACTAAATAGCATTGCTTAAAGCAGAATATGAAATTGATTCAATATCCTCCTCATCCCAATTTAAGAATTATGATAAGATAAACAAAAGTTTGATTCGTACTTTTAATCCTATTTACAATTGAGTACTTCTTTTAAAAATAAGCAAATTGGACCCTCATTTTAATTTCTTTTTTATCCACTTTGGTCCCTGGTAACATTCTCCAGCACAAGTTGCTATGATTTGCAGTTACACAGTTATTGAGACACGAAATGCCATTTAGCAGATACATGCACCAAATAAGGAAATAAAGCTTTGCAATCCACAATGAAAATAACATTCCATGAAAAAGAACACATTTAGTCCTTTGTGCTCAAATAGACTGAATCTGAATGTTCCAAGCGGCTCTTCATTCGACGAAGAAAAATTAAGACAACATTTGGATTCATTTTTGTTTTCTGTTTTTTTTTTTTTATTTTAAACATTAAAGAAAAAAGCATTTGCAATTATTTCCATATGTTGTTTCAGGAAACTATAAGTTGTTCCTCTAATTGTGAAAACTCTCTTCTGGTTAATTTCACGTGTTTTGGAACCAAACCTAAGTAACTAATTATTTAAATTAATTAAGCTAAGTATAGAGTATAGACTAATCAGAACAACAAGAGATTAATTAGAGTTATAATTCAGATTATTAAGGTTTAATGGCGTACAAGTATGGAAATTAGATCTAGAATAATTAAAATAGTTTATTAATAAATATTTAATAACGCAAAATAGAAGCTCATAAATGGTTTTAAATTATGGTAACTTAAATTTCATTATATTTTAATTAGAGTAATTAAATCTGAAATGGTAAATTAATTGATTAATTAGCAGATGACACTTGATTATTTAGGTTGATATATGATTAATTAGAATTTAATTATAATCATAACATTTTTTTAGCATGAAATGGCACTAATTAAGCATTTGATAATTTATTAAATTATTGGATTACTTAATAATTAATGATATATTTATCCTAACTGAAGATTAATTTAGGTTTTTAATAAGATCATTAATATTTTATAAATATTACTTATTAAAATAAGGCCTAGATAACGAATCAACTCATAATTGACAAAAGTGAGCACAAATGAAGTTTTTTGCTTAGGCTAACTAAAGATTAATTAATATTTGTATTTAGATCAATAAAGTTTTATTAATATTAATCATAGTAATCAGGCATGAAATAATTAACTAATCAATTGATTACTCATACACAAGGTCTTTATCCCACTAAGTGGTATAGGCTGCATGAATCCTTTATTCCATTGTGTCATATTAAGTGTCATATTTTCATTTAATTATAATAAATTAAGATCATTTTTTATACAATATGCCCAAGTCTTTTCAAGTCTACCTATGCCTTTCTTAACAGTCGAATCTAATCATCTAATCTCCTAACTGGATCATCAGATGACCGACGTTTAATGTGACCAAACCATCTAAGACGGTTCTCTCTAATCTTATCTGCCATTGGAGCTACACCAACCCTTTTACAGATAGATTCATTTTGCATTTTGTCTCTAAGTGTCAAACCACTTATCCATCTAAACGTTCTCATCTTAGCAACACTTACTAAATTTTATTCTTCTCTTTTAAAGGACAACATTTTGCGCCAAAAGGCATTGTTTAAGTGATACATTTCTATCACACAATAGACCCGATACAATACATTCCTCCACTTCAACCATCCAACTTGAATTCTACTAATAACATCTCCATCTATATCGCCATCACTTTGAACAATAGGAAAGAGATATCTAGAAAGTTCACACGTCTTAAAGATTTGATCGCACATAGTTATAACTCTGCCACAAGATCTACTACTACTAAAATTATATTCCATGTACGCAGATTTGGATCTACTCAAACGAAGGCCTTTAGAGTCCAATGCAAACCTCCATAATTTAAGTTTTTCCTAAACTTTTTTTCTAGTTTTATCCACAGGAATGATATCATCAACAAAAAGCATATACATTCTCCAGTAAATGTCCAGTAAGAGCATCCATACTAAAGCAAAAAGATATGGGCTTAAAGTCGATCTCTGATATATCCAACTGGAATAGGAAAATGCTTACTCGATTCTCCTATTCGAACACAATTAACAACTCTAATATACATATCTTTAATGACTTGAATATAAGTTATCTGAACACCCTTCTTATCTAGAACTCTTCCAAGAACTTCTCCATCAAACCTCACCATAAATGTATAGCTTCTTTAGCAGACTTATCAGACATAATTATAAACTGATTATTAGAAATCTTTATATCACGTCTTAACCTATGTTAAATTACTCTTCTATATTTTTAATGTATGACACATTAAACTTAATTCATCTATAATTTATACAATGTATGACACATTAACTTAATTCATCTATAATTTATATACTCTAATGCATTCCCTTTATTCTTAAAAAGATGGACCAAAATAATCTTTCTCCACTCCTCATGCATTTTTAAGTATTTAAAATAGTATTAAAGAGTTTAATAAGCCAAGGAACTCCCAAATGTTCTAAATATTTCCACACTTCAATTAGAATATCATTAGGTCCGGTTGATTTTACACATTTTGTTTTCTTTAAAATCTCATCCACTTTCTTTTTACTAATGCGGAGATAAAAAAAGATCGATCACATTTTCAAAAACTTAATCGAAAATTTTATCAAAATATCTCACCCACTTTTGTTGAATGTCCTCCTCTAAGAAAGACATTTTTTTTACTTTCATTTTTTTACTTTCATTTTTAATACACTTAACTTGAAAAAAATCTATACATTTTTTTTCTTTTTTTGACTATATTATAGATATATTTTTCACCCTCTTTAGTATTTAATTTATTATAAATATCACTAAAAATAAAATCCTTAACGTCACAAATTATCCTTTTAAACTCCATATGAGCCACCTTATATTTTTCCTAGTTCTTTAAGCTCTTATATTTAAACAAATTTATTTAACAAACTTTCTTATAATTTATCTTTTCTTACATATTATTATTCCACCACAAACTAATTTTATTTATAAAAATAAATAGTGTTCGTTACTTTATCCAACATATAATTAGTTTCTTCATAAACATCTCAAATCTTGAAATCATAAAGTTTACTTATAAATATAATTTATTTGTCTTTTAGGTGCCCCATTTAATTCTATGACAATATTTCATTGTATTTTTTAACTTCCAGCCTTTCATATTAAAATCCAGAACTAATAATTAATATTGAGTACTTAAATTTTCATTTGAAATGACCTTACAATCTTTACTTGAAAAATTTGTGTTTTATTAAATCCATTCTTATAAATAATAATATGCTCATCTCTTTCCTTAAATAATGTGTTAACAACAATAAAGTCATAAGCTAAAGCAAAATCTAATATGATTATACATTCTTCATATTAGTACTTATTAATGACTTAATATGATTCATTAACACTTGCTTGATATTATAATTAATACAATTAAATTTTTTTAATAATTATTTAAGATTAATCAAAGTTAACGTACTTAAAATATTAATATTTTAAGATTAACTAATTAAATAGTTATTACGATGGTATCTTAAAGTCATTAAGATTTAAAATTTTTAATTAATTATGATTATTCAAGGTTCAAATAATTAAAATATTAATGAAATATTCGTTTGATTTATTAAATATATATATAATTAATATAAGTATTATTTAATCTAATAAATTATAATTTAGTTATTAATTATGATGATAGCTTAAATTGATTAGGCTTAAATAAAATTTAATTATGATAATTGGTTTTAGATCAATTAATTATGAATTAAATTGGCATTCACATAATTACATATAAAATTATCACGTGATTGAGAATTCATTACTGTAGAGTGATATATTAATGTTTTAGTGATGTATGAAGATCCGACACACAAATATAATAAAAGAGCTGATAAAGGGGACAACAACAGTTTTTATATGAAAAACTTGAAAATGTATAAAATATGAGGCCTAGCTTAGTAGAAATGATTCAACTATTCATATATATGTTACAAAACATTATTTACCCTTGAACAACAGAAAAGAGTATTACAATAGTGGGAGAAATTGACTTAAATTTCACTAGAGTGACAGAAAATGTTGGGGAAGTGACAACAACCCGACTGCAATCATGAAAGACTTATGACAGATGTTGTGTGATGGTGATCTGGATTCATGATCACCGATGGCGGCGGTCGCTAGGCAACAATGATCCAACAACATTAGTAATGATGGCCATGCGATAGTGATGGCAGTGTGCCATGACGACGACGATGGTGGAGCAGTGGTGATCCAGTGATAACAGCAATGTCAGTAAGGCGATGGTCGTCCAAGGATGATGGCCTGATGAAGATGTTCCGACTCGATGATGACGGAGGCCAAGAGATGATGATTTGAAAACAATTATGGTGTAAAACAATAGCGGCGGTTGTTAGGCATCAATGACCTAGCATAGCAACATTGGAGAGGAAGTGATCCAACAATAACAATAATTTACCACAAGAGAGACTGTAGTCACACATAGGTGAGTCAGTATAGTGGTGATTAGAAGATGATTATCCGATGATATGATAGTATGGTGGTGGTTGGAAGATGATTCGGCGATGGCGACATCAACGGTTGTCTGGCGTCGGTGCTTCAGCATAATGGTGGCCGAGAGATGATAATCTGGCGATCATGGTAGTGGTTCAAAGATAACAACCCGACAGTAGTGATGATGGTCTAACGATGGTGATTTGATGGTGGCAACGGAGACCCGAAGTCGATCAACCATCGTTGGTGTAGTGGTAGAGGTAGCGACAGCCCGACGATGGTGGTTCGACACATAAGGGGTGGTTTGGTGGCAGTGGTCAAACAATGGCAGCCTTAGGTGGAGCCCCGACAATGGCCATCCAATTTGGCAGTAGTGGCCTGACAATGGTGATCCGACACTACAACGATGGCCCGACTTCAATGATCAGACATGGCAACAACAACCATGCAATAGTGGTTGGGCACGGAGGCAGTAGTCCGTCAATGGTGACCCGACGATGACAATGTTGGGCGGGCAACTATGGTCTGGCGATGGAAGCGACCTGAAAAGGGTGTTTCAACATAGATGACGGTGGTGGTCAGGCAATAGTAGTCCGAAAATGGTGGCGCCCAGATGGCAATATTCCAGTAGTGGTCGTGCAACAGAGGTCCGATAATGACAGTGATTCGACGAAGGAGAAGGTGTTGGTCTGACAACAGCCCGACGACAATTGTCTGACGGTGACGACAAACAAACGACAGTTGTCTGGCGGTGGCAATGGTGGTGGTTGACTTGAGCTCATTCAGCTTTCTCCTCCAGGTTTAATTCTCCCTTCATGACAAAAGTGTGGGTCAATTTATAAATTTTGGGAGTGGCATCTTCCGTGAATACCGCATAAATCCAAACCACTCCATTGGACGACTCAGAGTAATTCCTTTAATCAAAGATAGTTTTGTGAGCATTTAAAAGCCTTAATGACATCGGAATTAAGTGATCTTAGGCTTGTTCGATTCATCTAGTTGAGACGCTCGATTTGACTATGAGCTCGCCAAATTTAAAAATCATTTGGTATGTCGAAGTATGTTCTAAATTTTCTTGTTATGCTTTTAAGTGCATGATTAAGATCACTTGAGCTCAAATAGATCATTTTCTATGTCATTTGATTTGTCTCAGTCAGCCACTTTATTTGACCATAAATTGGATTGTAGATGTTTTCCAATTTGATTTTTGAAGCTTATGGTCTAAATGCTAGACTTGGGGCGTATTGTATAAAAAATGATCTTAATTTATTAGAATTAAATGAAAATAAGACACTCAATAGGACACAATGGAGAAAAATGATTCATGTAGTCAACCCCTCTTAGTGGGATAAAGGCTTGTTGTTATTGTTGTATGGTCCAAATATGCGTCGACATTCATGGGGATCAATATGAATTTTTAGCAACATATTAATAATCAATATTTTTTTCATTTTGGTTGTAAAATTTATTAGCTATTTTCTTTCAACAAACAAAAAACAAGAAGGTTATCAAGAACAAATAAAAATAAAAATAAAACATTAACGAAACAAAACAAATCCAACATTTCATAAAATTACATACATACCAAATAAGTCTTACACACCTACATATCTAACTCCTATAATTTGATATTTATATTTATAGCACTTTGGTGTCATTCACAAGCTAGCATATTTAAAAAAAACTTTAACAAGCAATCTATCACCAAAAGATAGATGCTAAATTTTTGAAAGCATCTGCCACAATAAATATCACATCTGCAACCTGGATGTTCAGACAATAAATAAACTTGGCAGGAAAAGAACTTTGGGTTCTAAAGCATTAAATCAAACTGAAAATAAGAAGAAACCATGCAAAATGGAGAGATCAGCTCTCGAGAACTGATAACAAGAAAATATAATCATGAAAAAATACTAGCAATTTTTTAGTCAACATAAAAATATTATGATGAAGAATCCAAAAGAAAAACATTAATAAATTACAAATTCTCACCCGCATTGAAGCAAAAACTGTAGCAATGCGTGTGGCCATCGTGTTTAAGCACAAGCTGTAATTGCGAGAATTTTCAGTGCTTTCTCCATATAGATCTCCCAAAGCCATCTCATGGTCGGTAACAAAGCCCTTCAGAATACAGTTAATAATCAAGCCATCAGGATACTCATTGTAAAATGAAGACGTCATGGCTAGAAGTTGAAACCAATAGTGCAGAAAAAGTAAGGAACTATGGATTGGCTAGAGGTCCCCCTTGAGTGGCACACCAAAAAAAAAAAAAAAAACAGCAAAAGGTTGATTGGGTCTAAATCTAAAATTAAATTCAAGACTTAGAATTTATAAGCGTTGACTGGTAAGAAAAGATAATTGTTGGAAATTATTGATATGCATATAACTGTGGCCCACATGGCCCACCCACAATTTGGGTAACCGTGATCCGCTACTACATTTGAGGGGGGAAAATTATTCTTATTTAATCATATATTATTGTGTTTTTATTTCTTTTTTTCTTATCATGATAATTTGAATTTCCCACCAATTTTATGAGGGTAAAAAAACAGCAAAAAGGTTAATTTGGTCTACATCTAAAATTAAATTTAAGACTTAGAATTTATAAGCGTTGAATGGTAAGAAAAGATAATTGTTGGAAACCATTGATATGCATATAACCGTGGAGCACATGGCCCACCAATGGTTTGGGAACCCGTGATCTGCTACTACATTTGAGGGGGAAAAATTATTCTCCTTTAATCATAAATTATTATGTTTTTTATTTCCTTCCTTCTTATCACGATAATTTGAATTTCCCTCCAATTGTATGAGGGTTAGTCTGAGCTATATAAATTTGTTATTTGCTTGTAATGGTTTAATGAGAAAATTATAGAGTTTTTTTCTCCAAGAAAGTACCTCCTAAATTCCACAGAAATTATGATTAGTAAAAGAATAAATATTACTTATTTACGTGAAACTAAATAATAAAAACAAGGATACTGTGGAAGAATATAAATTATTGTATATTGACAAGCTTGACAATATGAATGAGATTGGGGTAGCAGTGAATAAAATGTTGAACGAAAAAATTATTTATGTTAATATGGTTATTGATAGCGTAATTGTTGTTAAATTGATCAACTAAGATGATTTCAAGTATGTGGCCAGCACTAATGTCCCTCAAGTTTGATTTGAAGATAGTAAAAAAAATTAATTTTTAGTAGAAAACTATGAAAAAGTACGACATATGCCTACCAAAGATATACAAAACTAGTAGTTCTAGTAGAATGGTGTAGAATGAGTTATGAGAGGATTTATAGTGTGTTGGACTAGAATATAAGAACATAAGAAAAGAAACTATACTAACTTCATGGTAACCTATAATATTGTAAAAGCAAACTCAATAATTTAAGAAATGAAAAGAACATCAAGTAACTCACAAAATAGTCACCTAACCAAAGATATTAACTCTTCAATGAAAAGAAAATTTTTCATGTGGAGATTGTATGTTGATATTAAGTGAATGCTTGCCCACACAACATGGGGCAGTAGATATAGATTTATATATGAAGAGTATTAAAAAAAACAATCAAAAGAAATTTTGGCCCTAACATAAAGCGGTGACATTTGAAAAGTGAGAAATTGTTAATACTTCAAAATATGTTGCTAATAGAGACAAATTAAAATTCTTTAGTCAAGCTAAACATGATGTGGATAAGATGACTCGTTCTATTAAAATTATTTTGTATAAAAGTTTAAGGAGTTACGAAATATATGACCCACATACAAGGAGAACTGTTTAAGAGAAGGTAAAAATCATTATCAAGGAAAAGAATATTTTGAAAGGTGAAAAATTTTGAATACTAATGTGCTTGGACTGACTATAAGAAACTTGGAGATCTTGTAAACATGAAAATGGTTAAAACAAATGCTGCAATTTTTAATGGCTTATACAATAAGCTTAGTAGTAAAAAAATACAACTTGTGAAATATAGAATAACTAAAATATCATGAGACAAAAGAACTTTGATTAATTTAGATGCATTAAAAGTGAACATAATAGGAACTTGGCTAAACATGAAGATTTCAAAGAAAGATAAAAATGCTATTTAAAAAAAAGTTATTTTAAAAGAGCATGATGAATAAGCCAATGAAGTTATAGACGGATCCAAAAAAATGAAGTGTTGGAACTAAAGAAAATACATGATGGTAAAACCTTATACCCAAATGGAAACCTTTGAGATTTAGAGTTAATAAAGATATGATAGGATTTGTTTAACAATTCATTTCAATGGAGTTTTAAATACTAAGAATATGTTAAATGATTGATGAAGAAACACTTTGAAACTAATATTTAAGAATAAAAATACTGTTCAAGATTGTGATAACTATAAAAGAATCCAAGTTAGAAGCAATGCAACAAAGCTACGGGAGAGAGGAACAAAAAACAAATTTAGAGAAAATAAATCAATTTAAGAGACCAAATTGTTTTCATGCTTAGAAAATCTACTATGAAATCAATTTTTGAGTAGAGACAATTAATGAAGAAGCTTACAGAATAGAAAAACAATAGCCATGGTTTTTGCTGATCTTGAGATGACATGATCAAGAATTATGGGAATTAATTTGATAGCCTCTAGGGTAGAAATGTTCGCATCAAAGCTACCTTGACATTAGTAAAGTTATATATAATAGATCACTAACTGACAAAAGAAGTGCTAGCACACTGACCGAAGAATTTTTACATCAAGGACAGCATTGAGCTCATACCTCTTTCTATTGGTGATGGACATGTTGTTAACCGCAATATAAGCAACACAAATCAGCACGAAACAAAGAAACAGATGGAGCCATGGATAAAATGAGTTAGAAGGTATTGCTAACAATCAAAACTATTTAAAGTGTTCAATAGTGTTCTAGGACTCCAAGAAGATGTTTAGGAAGCAGATTTAGCGGGAGGTGAATGTTGAATAGCAAAAGAAAAAAATAGGAGAGGTTGAGAAGCTTTACAAGAGAAGCATAAAATTAAGTTCACTGTTGTTGAGATGAGATTGCTTAGGTAGATGAGTGGCTTTACACTTAGAGATAAAATATGAAATGAATATATCCATGAAAGGGTTAGTGTAGCTCCTGTTGCAGATAAAATTAGAGAGAATCGTCTTTAGATGGTTTGGTCACATTAAATGTCGACCATCTGATGAACCAGTTAGGAGAGTAGATGTTTTAGATTCCACATATGTTAAGAAAATCAAAGGTAGGCCACCTACAAAGACTTGACAATATTGTATAAAAATGATCTTAATTTATTAGAATTAAATGAAAATATGACACTCAATAGGATGCAATGGAGAAAAAGGATTCATGTAGATGACCCCACTTAGTAGATTAAAGACTTGTTGTTGGTGGTGGTGAGACTTGCAATGCTTTATGGTGCAGAATATCGGTCTTTAAAAGAGAAGCATAAAATTAAGTTAGCTGTTGTCGGGATGAGAATGCTTAGGTGGATGAGTGGCTTTAAATTTAGAGATAAAATGTGAAATGAATACATTCGTGAAAAGGTTAATGTAGCTCCTGTGGCGGACAAAATTAGGGAAAATTGTCTTAGATGGTTTGGTCACATAAAATGTCGATCATCTGATGAACCGGTTTGGAGAGTAGATGTTTTACATTCAACATATGTTAAGAAAGACAGAGGTAGGTCACCTACAAAGACTTGGGCATATTGTATAAAAAATGATCTTAATTTATTAGAATTAAATGAAAATATGACACTCAATAGGACGCAATGGAGAAAAATGATTCATGTAATGGACCCCATGATGCGCACATAGTGTGTGTTGTTTTTCTGCGTGTTTTATGTCAATTTAAATCCCCGGTAACAGTGTAAAAAATTTGACCAGCAGTAATTTAGCTTTAAAAAATATGACAAAAAACTTGACCCAATTTATATTAAGTATTTAATATGTAAAATTAAAATGTTATATATAAAATAGTTCACACATTAGCGGTTCTACACAAGTGCACGTATCGCTTCAAGTAATATAGGGCTTTCTTTAAAAACCCCAGTATCGATCCCACAAAGAAGCGCAGTAAGAAATCCCTTAGGTTAATTCTAGTCTACTAGTATCAAGTCTTAGTTTGAGAGATGAAAATTCTTATGATAATAACTTAAATCACAATATTCAAACTATAGAAATTAAAGAAAGAAAGACAAGTTAAAATGAGTTTAATGAATACTAACAAAAATGTAACTAAAAGAACTAAATTTACTAAACTAATTTCTAAACTTCAAAGTTAAATTTACTCCCCACGTGGTGTGATTAAGGCTTTGTTGTTGTTGTTGTTGTAAAGTTAAATTTACAGTTTTGTGATGAAGAGTTCAAATTTAAGAAAGCATCCTTCCCCTTTACAATGATTTTATGGATTATGAAGAAATTAAAATCATTTAAAATATATATAAAATTGTTTTGTGCCAAATAAGAGCAATCATATTCTTTACCCTCTTCCGAGTGCATAAAAAACATTAACTAGTCCAGAGTTTGGTCCCTAATTTTGTGGTTAGACTGGGAGGATACT